TCTTAAAAAATAATTTTATTCTTAAATTTTGATTTTTAAAACTTTAATTTTTTTTGTAGTGTGAGTTGATGATGGGCTGGATTTCATTAGGCATAGTTGTGCAACGCCTTTTTCTCCTCATGTAAAGTTGCAAAAAAGGAAATGCAAAACAGTTCCATATTTGATAAGCCATTTTTAGGATTAGTCATGTCTTATTATCAAAGTAGAACAACATATGCTACCCTTGGGCCAATATCACGTTTTATCATTTAAACAGCACAAAAGTTTGGAAACAAGAAAAATTGAAATTTACAAAATATTTATGTGTGCCTGAATTTAATTTTACATCGTAAGATCTACATTTAAAATGTATTTCAATCATGTAATATTTTTTCTAGATATTTTTCTCAATAAGTTTTTTGAATACCTAACTTTGTTGTTTAGACAATTTGAGATACATTTCAAGTTTTGCTTTGCTAAAAATGTCTGGCTGGCGGTGACCAAATAAAATGGCATTGAAATGTCTTTAATTACAAAAGGTATGTTTTTCACAATAACTAACAATGAAGGTTGTGAGCCGAACCTTTGTCTCTCTTTTGTGCAAGTTTTTATATGCAAGTGATACAATTGCTTTAGTTAAAGTTCAACATGGGTCAAAGAGAGTAGCGTGGATCAATCATTAAATCATTTAATCTGTCGTTGCTTATTGTTGAAAGTCTTAATTTTTCAAAGGCCTAGCAAGATAAGTCATCATTTTGATATTCAGCGATCTCACAAAAATTTTGAGACACTACCAAAAGAGAGTAAATATACTCAAGATTTTTTATACAAACATATTTTTTTGTATAAAATTTCATTTAGATTGAGGTGGCAATAATGTTTTTGATATTATAAATCCAATGATGAATTTTTTTGCTTTAAAACGAGAAAATAATATTAATTTTTTTTTTTTGGATAGAAACCCCACTAGTTAGGAATTTTCTTTATTTGATTTACTGTGAGTTAAAAATGAGGAATTATTTTAAGGGTGTTCAACAAAGCGCAACAGTACCTAAAGTTGAAAAGAATGGTAAGGGGTTTTTTTTCAAAAACATATTTAAAGACAATAACACCCCACCTTATCAATCATATCATAATACATAAAATAGATTTGTTAAAACAGCGTGGAACACATGTTTTGTACCTCTTCCTCAAAACCAATATATATTTCATGTCATATTTTCTTTCAACTGTTCAATGATATTATGATTTTGCTTATCAACAATTGCAATCGTGAGTTGAAACATTGCCATTCTCTTGATTCCATGTGGCACTTTGTTTTCAACAAAAATTTCCCCAACGTTTTGGCATTATTGCCTTAATTTTTACTTTGTCATTGTTGCAAGGGATCAACACAAATATGTGATCTCACATAGTATTGGGCCAATGTTATTAAATTATTTAATTTGTCATATGAACAAAAATGGGGGGGGGGGGCAACTATTGCATTTAATTTTATTTTAAAATATAATTATGAGAGTCTACTTATTTTTTTCAAATTTTAGGAGATGTCAGTTTAATCAACAATGATAGAGACCACTAATTTTGGAACTCTAAAAAGACCACTAATGACATGTCATTCAATAAAAAAAGAAAAAAAATACAACACCAAGGCCAAAATATCAAATCATTTCTGGTGGGGCCCACTGCCATATCATTAGTGATAGCACTAATTAGTGCTCTCACTCATTTTCCCAGTTTAATTTGAAAAAAGATTGGAAGCTCTAAAAGAAGAGCTCTAGAGAGCTCTAATGGTGTGTGTGGGCCCCACAATGATGTGATTTTTTTTTTTCATTGCAAAGTTATAGAGCTTCTAAATTAGAGGGATGTATCATTTTTGGTTTAATTTATCAAAAAAGAAAGGGTAAAATTCATTTCTCTCTTGTGGTATGACCCAATGACACTTTAACTCCTTATATCTTTTGAAAATAGCCACATGCCTCCCAAGTAGTATGACCCAATAGCACTTTAGCTCCCTGTACCTTTTAAAAATAGTCACATAGTAACATATCTCCTATGTAATTTTAGATTAAAATGCTACAGTTACATTTTTCATCCAAACTAGCAGAGAATGTATCTCGCATGCTTATTTTGAGAGTAAGAAAGAGAAAAAAAATTAGTCAAAGTTAAATTTTAATATAAGAAGACGAAGCTAACTTTGTTTTACCTTTTTTTTTTGGTTTTAATCTAAATTTCTTAGTTAATAACATTTTAAATTAAACATATATATTATATATATAATTAAATTAACCTAAATATCTTAATTTATTATTGTAAAAATTAATCATCAAACTACTTCAGCTTAAGTTTTTATTTAACAACATTTTAAATAAACATAAACATAGATACATATATATATATATAATTTAATCATAAATAAACACCCTATTTATTATCATAAAATTATCTTATTTATTAACAAAAATGTTAGAGACTTTAAAAATTTTACCAAAAGTTTTACCAAATGTCTCACATGGGTGTGGGTCCCACATGGGACCCACATTGTATGAGTCCCACATCTATGTGAGACATTTGATAAAATTTTTGATAGAATATTTGGGGTTTCTAACATTACTCATTTATTAATGTGGTGTTGGTGACATTGAGATGAGAAGAGAAAATGAAACGAGAAATGAGAAATTAAAAATGAGAGAAAATGAGGGAGAGGAGGTGGAATGGAACTCGTAAGCCGCTGTGTAGGACTAGTCACGCCGTAAAAAAAATTAGTGGGAAAATGGGAAGGAAAGAAGCCGGAAAATCTTCCCACGCAAAAGCAGACGTATTGGTTTAAAAAAGAAAAAAAAGAAAAAAAAAAGACTTTTGAGCTTTAATATAAGAGTTTTAATAGCTTTAATGAGAAGTAAATCTTAATTTGATGTGCTATTTTAGTCTTATTTATTTTTATTTTTTATTTTTATTTAAAATAAAAAAAGACAAAGTGGTGAAACACAACCCGTACATAGCACGGGTGATATGCTAGTCTATAGTATATATTAAGCAAAATGAGGTTTTTAACCCCAAGGCCTGTGGGAGCTCCAATCTCCTAATCCTAATTTTCTAATTTTTTAATTTAAAAAAAAAAATCTCAGCAATTATTGACTTCTCCCAACCCAACCTTAGCATTTATTGACATCTCCCAACCCACAATCCCTTTTGACTTCTCTCATAATTATTGCAATACCCTTTTCAATTTCTCCCATACACTATGGTTACATACAAAAATAAAAAAAGATAAGAATTTAGCTATAAATCTCAAAAATATATAACATTTAAATTTAATTATGATTTAATAATATAATTATATATATATTTTTTATGTATATCTATCAAAATTTTAAATCACTTAATGAGAAAAATTAATCAATTTTCCAAAATTATTGATTTTTAATTTAAAAAATGGATTAAAAAAAACTATTGACTGATTTATTTATTTAATAACAAAAATATTTCATAATCTCTCCCTCCTAATCTCTCTCACAAATTTTCAAAAAATAATATTAAAACTTGCATTCATTTTCTCTTCTCCAAAAAATCAGATAATATTTTTTATTAAAGTTGTAGATATCTACCAATATTTTATATATTATATTATAACATAACAAAAAAAAATTAAAAAACTATTTTTTTTTTAAAGTTATCTAAATAAACTTTAAATCAATAAAATTCACATATCTATCACATATCTAACTCACATCATAACTTACCTAAATAATAATAATTAAAAACAAATGGAAATCACTGATAAATTAAATTTAAAAAAAAAGATACCCACAACTCCATCTTAAATAAATTGAAAAAAAAAAATCCATAGAAACCACACAAAAATAAAAATAAAAATAAAAATAAAAAGATATATCTATCTATCTATCTATCTATTTATCTATACTATATATTAAGCAAAAGGGGTTTTTAATCCCAAGGCTTGTGGGAGCTCCAATATTCCAATCCTAATTTTCTATGTTTTTGATTTAAAAAAAAACCCTCAGTATTTATTAATTTCTCCTAATCCTTATGCCTTTTGGGAGATTTGGTCAAAACCCCCTAATAATTAAACTTTAATGCATTAAAGACCAGCATAAACAAAATTCTTGAAAATTTCAACACATCTATCTATATTATATTATCTATATCTATAGTTATACTATATATTAAGCAAAATGAGGTTTTTAACCCCCAAGGCCTGTGGGAGTTTTAATATCCCAATCTGAATTTTCTAAATTTTTTATTTAAAAAAAAAACTCAACATTTATTGATTGGGTCAAAATTTCCTGATTAGCATTTATTAACTTTTTTCAATTCACGTGCCTTTCCACATACTTGCATTTATTGATACAATCCCCTAATCAGCATTTAAAATTACCTCACACAAATAATTATAGATAAAATTCGTGTATAATTACTGCAGTACCCTTTTTAATTTCTCCCACACACTATAGCTAGTGATAAGATTGTTAAATTATTTTTATAAAAAATCTTAAAAGCATAATTTATATATTAAAAAAAATCTAAAATAAATATAAATATCTATAATTATCCCGTGCATAGCACGAGTGATAGGTTAGTATAAAAGTTAAAAAGTCACTATCTTATTTAAGTCACATCATCTTATTTAAATCATATCACCTCTCTAACACATCACATCAAACTCAACTCAAACCCAATCCATATAAGCCAATAAGTAAAAAATAACACTTTTTTAGAACATTCCAAATCAACCCTAAATAAGTTCACATTTTTTATTTTTTTATCTTTTTTGAATCACATCAATCAATATCTTCTCTTTAAATTTATACATCTTTTTATAAAAAAATAAAAAATACATTTATTTAAAATATCCTAAACCACTCTCGAAAGTCAATTAAAATTCTAATTTTAAAGTGATGAACTCTTATAGGTTGGTCTTTTATAAAGACTTCCAAAGCCGGCAAAGAGAAAAGGAGTTTTTAATAATCATCGCAAAACCGACAGCACACCAAACAACAACTACAACTACACCCCTCCCCCAACACCACACTACACCACACCTAGCTCAAATTGACTCACAAGAACCACCCATCTCTCTCTCTCTCTCTCTATTTGTGCTGTATATACAGGAGAGATAGAAGGAACGGTTAATAAAAAATCCCCCAAAAGATCCCAAATTTTTGGGGTTTATTTTTTTTTACTCTGTTCCAACTATTTTGTGGTTACATAGAACAGAGTGAAGAAAGGAGAGGAGTGTTTGAAAGAAGCCAAAAACAGAGTGAGTGGTGGCAAAGAGAAAAGTTCGGATCTTTTTTGTGTTTGAAGATTTGGGTTTGGTTTTGATTTGAAGAAGAAGAAGACGAAGATATGGGGATTCTATACGACGACGTGGTGATCTTGAGGCAGTCTGAGAAAGAAGGAGACCCAAGTGTGATCACTGTCAATTGCCCTGACAAAACTGGCTTGGGTTGTGATCTTTGCCGCCTCATCCTCTTCTTCGGTTTAAGCATTGTCAGAGTTGGTACGCTCTCTCTCTCTCTGCATATGAATCCTTAATTCCTATTAAGTTTTGGGTCTGTCTCAGTTTTGCGAACTAACCCATGGGTATTTGTGGTTGTGAATTTTCCCCTTAATTTGGTTTTCAACCTGTTTGGCTAGTTGGAAATGATTTTTCTTTCTGATGGGTATTTTCTGAAACAGTAGAATTGTGCTAAGCAGTTTTCTCTTTGGCGTTTTCTCAAATAAGTGGTGGGTTTTGGATAGTTTTGTTTATTTGCTTCCTTAATTGTGTGTTGCAGATGTGTCTACTGACGGGAAATGGTGCTACATAGTGTTCTGGGTCATTGGAAAACCAAATACCAGATGGAGTTTGTTGAAGAAGAGAATGATGGGGGTATGCCCTTCTTGTTCTTCAGCTTCTGGGATTTACTTTTACCGATCCGAATTGCAGCCCCCCAAGCCTCCTGATGTTTTCCTCTTGAAGTTCTGTTGCCGCGATCGAAGAGGCCTTCTTCATGGTAATTTTCTTGTATCCACTGCTTATATCTGTGAAATTTTTGCTGGGTTTTAATTGAATTGCTTGTTCCACTAAACTGATCTTTATGCTCCTGTTGGTTCTATGATTTCGTAGCTAGTCTTTTGTCCAGATGAATTTGAAATCTAAGCATGTTTTCTAATCATGAATTTTTGATGTTGTAGTATCTTTGTTCTTTATCCTCCTTTATGTGCTGTTTGATTTCTGAGAAGCTGACTTGCTTGTTGTAAAGATAAAAGTTTTGAGGGCTTTTACCTAGGTTTCAAAGGAGCATTGTGGAATTACATGATTTTCCCTTCTTTTCTTTTTTTGTTTCAGATTATTTATTTAAATATTTTTGGTTTTTTCCTTGTTCCTTTGTTCTGTTTGTGTGCTGATTGATTTTGTAAATTCTAGCATCATATCAGTAATTTAACTGTCACTGAGTTATGGAGAAAATTTTGGGCAGATGTGACGGTTGTTCTTTGCGATCTCGAGCTTACAATAAAGAGAGTGAAGGTGTCTACTACCCCGGATGGCAGAGTGATGGACTTATTTTTCATCACAGACACCAGGTTCTACAATCTAGACTCAGTCCATGCTCAGTTAACAATAAGTACTATTATTTCTAATTTTTTCCTGGGTAAGTGTTTATGGGGAGATTTTTAACTCGTATGTCAATGTTCCTACTATACACTGTCTTCACTATGTGGGATTGAGTTGATTACATGGAATATGATAAAAATTTATGGCAGCTTTCTTGTGGACGAGTTGGATCCACATATTTTTTAAATGGATATCTTGTCCCATTTATCCTTATCCTAAACTGAAACAGGGATAGTGAGGATACATGATGGTTTGATGCCTTTCTATTAGTGAAATTTCGTTACCAAGGCAACCGGGAATGTGCAATAGTTTGGTTTTGAACTATGGTCATGCATGGAGTAATCTGGTTGATTGACTTAAATTAAGACTATTTGTAAATAATTGTTTTCGTTTTTCCCATTTGTTTGTTTGCAGTCGTGGGACATCATAAATTGTATCAAAATTTTAAACCCCAAGGTGGAGAGCATCCGTTTATTGTATTATATAATTAAGTTTTGATAATGCCGTTAAGTTATAATTATCTAAGTCATTGTAGTTGATGTGAATCCCCTTTGTGACCTTATGTTTGTGACCTTATGTTTCTTTCAATGTTGTCAGGGAACTTATGCATACCAAGAAGAGACAGGACGATACACACGACCATTTAAAAGATGTTTTAGGGGATGCCATGATTAGTTGTGAAATAGAAATGGTTGGCCCTGAAATTACCGCATGTTCACAAGGGCCCTCATTTCTTCCTCCCGCAATCACAGACGACAAGTTTAAGTTAGACGTAGATGAACACCAAAGTGGATCTCTCACCTCCAACAGTGTATCTATCACTATGGATAATGCTCTCAGTCCTGCTCACACGCTTGTCCAAATTGTCTGTAAAGATCACAAAGGTCTACTCTACGATATTATGAGAACTTTAAAGGATTACAATATCCAGGTAGATAATTTGGATTGATCTACTAGTTTTTTTTTTTTTTTTTTTTACAATAAAATTATTCTAATGTTGTTCATAATATAGCATGCTTGTTCAGTCACCATTTCTTTATTGGCTGCTTTGCTTTATATGTTTTAATATTGCAAAGTGCTATGACTTGTACTGGATTTGTGTTTTTAACATTAATATCCCGTTATGTTTACCAGATTTCTTATGGGCGATTCACCACAAAAGAGAATAGAAATTGTGAATTGGACTTGTTCATCATGCAAGCAGATGGGAAGAAGATAGTTGACCCTAGCAAGCAGAAAGCATTGCTTTTGCGTATTCGGATGGAACTACTGTGTCCTATTAGAGTAGCTCTGGTGAGCCGGGGTCCTGATACAGAACTTCTGGTAGCAAATCCCGTTGAGTTATCTGGCAAGGGCCGGCCTCTTGTTTTCCACGACATCACCCTTGCTCTCAAGATGCTCAACACTGGCATTTTTTCGGTATTTCCTGATCTCCATACTACATATAGTAGCTCAAAATGGGATTAGTTCTTCCACCCATATGGATTCTCCCTCATCTCTTTGATGTGCAGTGTTAGAGTTCATGGCCAGAATTGTTTCCTTTACAATGTTTTATGATGAATACAGATTGTCTGTCCCCTTCAATGTACCATTCCTCTGTCTCCTTGAAGGGGGCATAGAAGGGAGTAGATGAGCTTCATTCTGTTATGATACATCATTGTCCTTCTCTAATGGGTTTTTGAGAGTCTTCTATAATTTGTTTTTTGTTTTTGCTCTTTTTCTCATTCCAAATTGGTCCAATTCCATTTGCAGGCTGAGATTGGGAGGCACATGATTGGGGATCGCGAATGGGAAGTGTACAGAGTTTTACTCGATGAAGGGGAGGGCTTGTTTGTTCCAAGGAACCAGATTGAGGAAGCAGTCTGGAAGATGTTAATGGGGTGGGAGTGAATATGTCTGACGATATACCGTTTCGTTCGGATTGCATATTTGCAACAAGCTTCCTTGCATCACTGAACAGCAATCTTCAATCAGGTTAAATATGTACTAGATGTAAATAAGGAGGTATGTTGTGAAAAAGCTGAGCTGTATGATATTCTAGTAAAAAAGATGAAGTAGAGTTGGTAGTGAGGAGATGAGAGGAGAGTTGAGGCACTCCCGTCATTGTGTATATGAAATCTGTAGAGGAGAAGAGCTACATGGTGTACCCTTGTATGGATGTTATAGCTATGTTATTTAGATTAAAACCATGCTCTCCTACCTAACTATTTTCCCCGGTTTTATGGAGTCAAATTATTCCAACAAACTACAATGACATGATTCTTCCAATCAATCCCGTGAATCAGTCCATTCATGGGATTCTCTAATTAAAAGTATTGAGTAATTAATCAAAATAGTCTTATAGCGCCAACTAAGCATGCATATATGGTTGCTTCCTTCGGACCTATATAGAAGCAGTATTGGTATGATGCTGGTGGAGCTTGGCTTTGGATGTCCAGTAATTTTCTTGGGTAATAAGTGTATGTGCACCTAGTCGTGCCATGACTACTTCACTACCCACGTTCACTCTCAAAATTTGTCCCTATCAAGAGGGTCAAAATGTGATGCGCATTTTCATAATGCACTCCTTGACATAATGTGGTGGAAATTAGAATTAACTGTAGTTGGATTATGACAAAACATGATTTTCTAACAGCATTGAGTTTCACATTGTCGTCGACAATCAAATTGTGTCGTAACCCTTCCAATGAGTAGTAATTTTTGAGGATATATGTATATCATAGAACTTTCCCATCAAGAGTCGGGAGTGATACTTTTCCTACCAAGACAACTTGGCAGGACTTGTTTAATAAACCATTTGTATTTCTTTTTTTACTTTTTCAATTATATTGGCTTGTCCCCTCTTATCTTCTTTATGCAGATATGACAAAAACCTAGTCAAAGTAAACCATATTTGACTGTCAATTTAATTTTTAAAAATAATTGGTAACTACATATGCCAAAATAGGATCGAACATGGAAAAAAATGTTGAATAACTAGATATATATAAAATTGATGACTCAACAATGATTTGAACGTTGTTGGTTCTTGCTTCTCATCTTCATTCATATCGGCCTAATAATTGCAGTTGTTTTTGTATTAACATGTTCCATATATGTATCCATTGTCTTTTTCATTACCCACATATTTATATGTATATATATATATATATATACATATATCTGTCAACATATTACCATCCAAAGGAGTCAGATTTTGACATAATTTCAGTGGAGCCCCCATCTCTGTGACATTGAATTTGATCAGCATTAACTTTCAAACGTGTAAAGTGTTTTGTGGGGTTTCTTACAACTTTTTCTCTTTGTAATCCAGCTAATTAACCATTGAGTGATGTTGTAAAGTACAAAATAAATTAAGAAATCAAAACTTTCTCAAACAGTTTTGGCCAATCTGTAACCAAACATGACATCATGGAGTCAAAAAATATGTCACAAGATTTCTGTACAAAATGTCCATGCAAATGTAATGGTAAAAAAGAGTGATATAATCACTGTTTACAAAAATGTGAAGGGGGTAGAAGTCTTAAAATTAACATTGGAGGTTGTAATTACAAATGATATAAATTTATTTGAATTTAATTTTACTAATCATATAGCGATTGACAGAGCGGAACGGCCGTGAAACAATCAAGAAGATGCCATGTATAGTTTAAGCTTGCAATTGAAAATCTTATATTCCTTGATCACATATTCTTCCTTAGGCAATAAGGTTAAATACATCTTCTCTTTCTACAATGTCATTTTGACAACTAGAATGAGCATTGAGGAATGCTTGGCTAAATTGAAACACAAATAATGACTGAAACAAAAAAGTGCATAGTCCTCCGTTTACTTTCTTACTTTTTTTTTAACCTCCCAATTTTATGGCGGCTGAGCCCAATGTCAAGGGTTTCCATTAGCATCTTTGGTAGCGTGGGTTCAAATCACAAAAATAGCTTCTTCAGAAATGAAGGACTGCATATATTTTTTCTTAACCATCCCTACTTTAGCAGGAATCTCGTGCAAGGATCACTTATTTTTTATTTAATTTTTTTTTTTGTTGCTTCTCACAGTTTCCAATATATACCCAATTTGTGTAGGACACCAGCAACCACTCCCCAGAAGGTAATTTCAGCAAAAATCACATATAATAATGTCCCAACTCTCTGAGACTTCCAAACATCAACAAAGACATGCTTTTGAATCCAATGGACCTGATCATTTCAATTTTTTCCACACCATTAGATGATAAAAAAAATTAAGACCAAAAAAAAAAAAAAAAACTGTCATTACTTACTAGTGAATTGTTTGGAGTCTTGTAATACCATCCATTTATGAATGCTGCAAAGATACCTTGTGCTGCCATCACAAACACCAGCATTGCATTCATTCCTATCCATTCCAGGAATAAGAATGGAGTCCTCAGTCCCCACACATCAATCTGTTCATATTTATCAGAACAGGTTTAGATTATTCCTTGTTTTTTTCCGTCTAATACTAGAAGCGGATAGGGAAGATTCGATCTAATTACCAGTATGTACAATATAGAGAAGTTGCTTCCTTCGGACCTATATAGAAGCAGTATTGGACATAGCTGAAGCTGTACAGTTGTTTGTTTAGAGGAATAGCTACAAACCAGAGAAAAAAAACAAACATTAAGTTGATCTTGTTTCAAGTAAATGATGGTTAAGGTTGTTGTACTAAGTTATTACGATAAATTAGTTTGGAGTTATTATATACAAACATAAAAAATATATACAGAACTATTATATAGAATGATGTGGCAGATTGTGGTATCTTTTTTTGAAAACATGATGCCCTCCATTTTGATCATAATTTACTTGTCACATCGTTTTTATAGTAAATTAGGATAGTTTAGCATTTCCTGTTAGTTTATGTAAAGGAAAACTTTACATAGCTAGAAAAAGTAGTCCGAAAAGTGGCGAAAATCCATTTGGTTTAGTTTTGAAATTCATATTGAAAGATAAGTTTCTGAAAAAGACTTGTGAAAATTTAAAACTTGTTTAGTTATAGGTTTTGAAAATAAATTTTGAATTGTGTATTTTGAAAGTAGTTTTTAAAAATTTGTAAATTGAAAACTTATTTGATTAGGTATTCTCAAAATTAGTTTTTAATTAGAGTTGTTTTGGGTCTTGTATTTTTTTTTTTTTTTGTCTTGTAGTCAAAACTTTTTATAATATTATAGTCAATTTTATTTTTATTTTGTTTACTTCTTTTACGTACGTAATCTTTTACATAGATCTAATATAATTTATAGGGTAGAGTTTCATATGTATATATTAGTTCATAAGAACATTTTTAAAATTTTAAAGCTGCTTTTTTGATTTATATCTACTCAATCTACATAAATTTATAAGTTTCATATTTATTACATTTGTTTTTCATTTTTTCACATTTTGTTTACTATTTACGTATATTTTTTGGATCGCTCATACATATCTAAAACATAACAAATTATTTGGCAAATATTTAGATTTTTTTTTAAGAAAAACATTCAATCATCCAAAACTATTTCAATCACTTTTTCTCTTAAACCCGTCTATTCAACTATAAAAAAAAATATCAAATCATCCAAAACTCTAAAACTATTTTCAAAATATACAATCAAACTAAATTTTAAATTTTCTAAACTCTCTCCAAAAAATTAATTTTGACATAATAACTCAAAATACAAACCAAATAAGAACAAATTTAAAACTTATTTGGTTATGAATTTTGAAAAGAATTTTCAAATGGTTGAGTTGAATATAGGTTTGAAAACCCAAAACCAAATAGGTTTTTGGGTTTTGGGTTGCCAAGTTATGATTTGAAAAGTAAACCAGATGGAGTCAAAGTGTATGGTGTAGATTCAAATTTAATAGGATGTGGACTATAGGGGTGGACACGGGTCGGTTGCGGCCACGGAACCTCCAATCCGCTATCCGTCCGTCAAATTGGCGGATTGGAGAAAATCAATCTGCATCCATTCGCCAATCCGGCGGATGTGGATTGAGCAGATTGACTGTTTGGCGGATGGATATGAATCGATTTGGCGGTTTAAAATTTTATAAATTTTCAACATAATTCAACTTGTGCACTTCCTCAAAAAAAAAAAAAAAGTATTACAGTTAATGACTTAAAAAAATATTACAATCACTGCATGCCTCATCCAAAGCATGAAAGTTTGAAACTTTAGAATATCACAATCACTGCATGCCTCATCCACATACTACAATCACAACATGTCTCATCTACATAAAATAATATAATCTGTGGTTCTTAAAATATAAAAAAAATTCAAATCACCAAAACCATGAACATAGTAGTAGTAGAGATTGTATGTCTTTATATTGTTACATCTATATCTGTTTTTTAAAACAAAAACCAACCAACATATATCATATTTTCTATTTATTATTTTTAGAGATAGATTTAAAAACAAAAAAATATAAATAAATAATATGCTTATTTTTTTCAATTCAAAAAAAATATTCAAGTTGAAAACTTTGTCTTCTACAACGGTCCGACATGACCCCATAAACTGTCTTCTACAACGGTCCGACATGACCCCATAAACTGTCTTCTACAACGGTCCGACATGACCCCATAAACTGTCTTCTACAACGGTCCGACATGACCCCATAAACTGTCTTCTACAACGGTCCGACATGACCCCATAAACTGTCTTCTACAACGGTCCGACATGACCCCATAAACTGTCTTCTACAACGGTCCGACATGACCCCATAAACTGTCTTCTACAACGGTCCGACATGACCCCATAAACTGTCTTCTACAACGGTCCGACATGACCCCATAAACTGTCTTCTACAACGGTCCGACATGACCCCATAAACTGTCTTCTACAACGGTCCGACATGACCCCATAAACTGTCTTCTACAACGGTCCGACATGACCCCATAAACTGTCTTCTACAACGGTCCGACATGACCCCATAAACTGTCTTCTACAACGGTCCGACATGACCCCATAAACTGTCTTCTACAACGGTCCGACATGACCCCATAAACTGTCTTCTACAACGGTCCGACATGACCCCATAAACTGTCTTCTACAACGGTCCGACATGACCCCATAAACTGTCTTCTACAACGGTCCGACATGACCCCATAAACTGTCTTCTACAACGGTCCGACATGACCCCATAAACTGTCTTCTACAACGGTCCGACATGACCCCATAAACTGTCTTCTACAACGGTCCGACATGACCCCATAAACTGTCTTCTACAACGGTCCGACATG